CATTAGCCATTGCTCGAAATTCTGCCTCTGCACTGCTACGGGCAACAACACTTTGCTTTTTGCTTCTCCATGTAACTAGGTTTCCCCACACAAAGCAACAGTATCCAGTTGTAGACCTCCTATCAGTCACGGATCCAGCCCAATCAGCGTCTGTATAGGCTTCAATTGTTCGGTTGTCATTCTTCCTGAACATTAATCCTTTTCCCGGAGAACCCTTGAGATATCTAAGGATTCGATAGGCAGCTTCCATATGAGCTTTCTGAGGAGAATGCATAAACTGGCTTATCATGCTCACGGCAAAGGCTATGTCTGGTCTAGTGTGTGATAAGTAAATCAGCCTTCCAACCAACTTCTGATATCTCGTAGTATCAACCCTGTCCTCCTCACTCATTCCGAGTTTTACATTGGGATCAATAGGAGTATCAATTGGTTTGCACCCACTCATTCCAGTATCTTCGAGAAGATCGAGTACATACTTCCTTTGGCTGACCATTATTCCTTCTTTAGATCTTGCTATCTCCATACCTAAGAAATATTTTAGGTTCCCGAGGTCTCTGATCTCAAATTCATCTGCCATACACCTTTTTAATCGGGCCGTTTCTAGGGTGATCTGCCTGGGCTTGAGAATAACCTTGTCTTTTTACCGAGCTTGTGAATTTCTCAAACCATGCTCGTGGTGATTGTTTTAGCCCATAGAGAGATTTCCTCAGTCTGCACACCTTTGAACCAAACTTTTCTTCAAAACCGGGTGGAGGATCCATAAAAACCTCTTCTTCTAAATCTCCATTTAAGAAGGCATTCTTGACATCTAACTGTCGTAACTCCCAATCCAAGTTTACCGCGATTGAGAGAACCCGTACAGTATTTAATTTAGCTACTGGTGCAAACGTCTCAGAGTAGTCTATGCCATAGGTTTGAGTGAAACCTTTGGCTACTAGACGTGCTTTATACCTTTCTAGTGATCCATCAGATTTGAACTTGACCGTGAATACCCATTTGCACCCCACAGTTTTCTTCTCCCTTGGCAAATTTATAACCTCCCATGTCTGATTCTTCTCCAGAGCCCTCATTTCCTCTAAAACAGCCTCTTTCCATTCGGGTACCTGAAATGCATCTCTAATACTCTTCGGAATTTCCACGTGTGAGAGTTGAGTAACAAAGGCACGGAAACAAGGAGATAGCTTTTTATAAGAAACAAAATGAGACATGGGATATAGAGGACGCCTAGTGCATTCTCTAGTTCCTTTTCTTAGTGCAATAGTTACATCAAGCTCATTTGAGAAATTTTCAGGGATTGGATTCAAACCTGGAACTTCTGGACTTGGTATCGAGGTTGATTCTTGACCATGCTGTAAGTCATTGGTCAATCCACTTGACTTTGGTTCTCTTCTTGAGAAAACTATCCCAAACCTGTTTTCAGTGTTATTTCTTGTTCTAATTTGACTAACACTAGAAGGAGTCAAATTTTCATTATTTAAAACATCTGTAGGGTTATTCTCTTGATCATTCTCTTCAGAATTTTCGGAATTATTTAGGTTTTGCAGAAAATCCGAATTTTGGAGGGCAAATTCTGAGGAGAAATTTCTAAACAGAGATTCACCTTGAACATGAAAGTCAAAGACTATTTTTTCATCTCCCCCTAAAGCCGAATCTGCCTGTGTGTGCTCCCCTTGAAGATGAGGCTGAAAAAACGATTGTTTTTCAAAAAATTGCACATCAAAGGTGACAAAATATTTCCTTTTTTTTGGATCATAGCCCTTATATCCTTTTTTACTTGGTGAGTAGCCTAAGAAGACACACCTAGTTCCTCTAGGATCAAGTTTTCCTATGTTGACATCTTTATTGTGGATATAAACAGTGCACCCAAACGTTTTCAATGGCAGAGTTGATTGAATTTTTGTTTGGGGAAAAATTTTGGAAAATTCACTTATAGGAGTGGCAAACTTCAAAACTTTTGAAGGCATTCTATTTATCAAAAAGGTTGCTGTTAAAACAGCGTCTCCCCAGAAAGTTTTTGGTACTTTATGTGTAAATAACAATGCCCGAGCCACTTCTAATAGGTGCTTATTCTTCCTTTCGGCAATGCCATTTTGTTGAGGCGTGTCAACACAAGAGCTTTGCTGAAAAATGCCATTTTGTGAGAAAAAATCACTCAAAAGTTTTGTGAAATATTCACGACCATTGTCACTTCTTAAAACTTTGATTTTTGTTTCAAATTGAGTGTAAATCATGTTATAAAATGTTTTAAAGATGTGCTCCACCTCGGATTTTTGTGTCATCAAGTAAACCTAAGTCATTCTTGTGTGATCATCTATAAATGTAACAAACCATCGTTTTCCCGAAGGAGTTGATATTCTTGAAGGTCCCCATATATCACTATGCATAAGAGAAAAAGGTTGGGATGGAACATATGGACGAGGGATATATGGAGATCGATGCATTTTTGCTAAAGCACAAATTTCGCATTGAAAAAGAGATGGATCTTTATTTGAGAATAACCTAGGAAACAAACGTTTTAAATAATAAAAATTTGGATGACCAAGTCTAAAATGCCAAAGCATAATGTCATTCTTACTAGAACTAGAAATAACACCTAAGCAAGTATTGGAAGCATAATCTTTAGGAAGTGATCCATCGTCAAAGTAGTAGAGTCCACCACTTAGTTTAGCATTGCCAATCATCTTCCCCGAGGCCATGTCCTGAAATTCACAGTAAGATGGAAAGAAATTAGCATGACATTTTTGGTCAAGAGTTAATTTACTGACTGACAGTAAATTGCATGACAATTTTGGAACATGTAACACATCTTTTAGTGTTAAACATGCAGAAATTTTGATGGAACCGGTCCCTGCTATGGCTGAAAACGAGCCATCAGCCACTTGGATTTTTTTATTTCCTGCACAAGGGCTGTAAGTGGAAAATAAATGGGAACAACTGGTCATATGATCTGTGGCGCCAGAATCTATGATCCATGGGCCAGAAATTTTTGAGGAAGTGAGGGCAGAAGGAGCTTGTTTACCTTGGTGAGCATAGGAGGTAGAAGGAGGATTAGAAATTTGTGGAGACTTAAAGAGTTTTAGAAGATGCTCAATTTGTTCCTTGGTGAATGGAGGCTGTACCGAGGTAGATGGTTGCTCTGGAGTAGTCTCAGTCACGGTGTTAAACGTCCTGCTTCCCTCCTGTTTCTTCTTCCAATTTGGCTGCCAATTAGGTGGTTTCCCATGAAGCTTCCAGCAGGAATCT